TTTTATTTTGAAATGTAAGTCAATAACAATTGGCTGGAGCCAGAACCAATGGTGAAAGTCTTTGCGCGAGGAGACCCCGCCCCATTTTGGAGGTTCTGCCCACTTTTGGAGTTCACGCCCCATTTTGGAGATCTCCGGTCTGCAGTTATACGTACTTGGAGAGTTGTGAGAACATACTCAGACAAAACCCTCCAGTTTTAAAAGAACACATTCCAGTCAGTTTCAAAAATCTCTCTCCTCTTCGTTTCGATTAGTTTTCTTGTATTTTCTACACATATTCCTGTCATGAGCGTCACAGACAAGGATAGACTCATCTCATGCGCCATTCCAGCTGTTTCCAGTTTGCACTCACCCCATTCACTGCTCCAGTTTTAAAGGAGCACACTCCAGACAGTTTCAAAGTTGTCCCTCGTCTGTGCTTCGATTAGTTTTATTCTATTTTCCACACGTGCTCCTGTCTTAACACTGCAGTCACGGATTTCGTCGCACACAGAACTGTTCACGTTTGAACTCACGTGACTTGCTGCATGCTCTCAATCACGTCCTCAACATTCATAACCCAGCAACGTCGGGTTACTTATTACTGATGTCAACCTAAATTGGGTCAAATCAAGCCAGCTTCCTAACCCAACAGTCTCAACTGAGCGTTTGGATTGAAACAATTACCAGCGTGTTTTATATATGTAGGTTATAAAAAACTACACAGTGTATATTTTTGCTAAATCGCTTGCAAATATAAGATTGTTGTTAGGTCATAAAAATCCACCCAGTGTTTTGTTTTTTAAATCCCTATTTTAAAACCCCCTTTCTCAAATCACGCTGTTCTGAGATTCCTGTCAGAATGACGTAGTTCTGCACAGGCCACTCCCACGATAGTTGATTGACAAGGCCGTCTTACCTTAGACCCGCCCTGACTGAGCTGCGAGCTGTCTGCCATTGTGTCGACTCCGTTGCAGGTGAAGACAAGATGTCTCCAATTAAAGGTGGGGTATGTATTTTTTCAAAAACGCTTTAGATGTTAGTCAGGCCAAGTAACAAAACAAACTTGTAGCCAATCAGCAGTAAGGGGCATGTCTACTCATGATGCGGAGGAGAGAGCGCTCAGTGCACAGGATGGACATTAGCCGAGCAGAGCGACAGAAAGATAGAGATGGCGGATAAAAAACAAAAGAGGAAAATGTCTGCGAAAACAAAAGAAGGCTTATGATAAGGCAAGAAGCAGGACCGTGTGAATATCGGATCAGCTTTCCAGCGCTGGAGAGAACTCAAGGAGCAGGAAGGCCTGCGATCAGATGCCGAGGTTGCTTTGTTTCTTCTCGATAGGTGAGTAACACCGTGTCTACACCAGACGCGACAGTTGTGACGTCGCACCGTAACAGCTAAAGTCTGTCTACACTCCGAACCTGATGCGATTTCAAGGTTTCCTTTCTCTTTGAAGTGTTACAAGCTGTTCGTGCATAGATAAGATCCCTAAAGTTGCAAAGACTAAAGTCTCAGACCCAAAGAGATATTCTTTATAAAAGTTAAGACTCGTCCACGCCCTCCTAAAACGGCTCGTTTAAACACGCCCCCACATGTCTACGTCACTATGTGGGAAGATTTGCATAACACCGCCCAAATGTTTACACCAAGAAAGAAGGCGTAACTTTTATTCTCGCTGTAGTATTGTTGCTGCCGCCGCCTTGTCGTGGAGATGCTGTTTGTTTCGTTGTGAAAGTGAAACTACTTAGTTTGGCCTTCCAAAAGAGGAAAGCGTTGGGAAAGTAGCCTACAATGGTGTCTACACACAAAAGCTGTTTTTATAAAGTGGGGCATTTCCAACTTTGCAAGGACAGTCTGGCATTTCTGACTCACAGCCTGTCAGTACGTTTTCATATTTAAAGGATTTGCCACTGACGATTCAAACTTTTGAGCATTGTAGTGTATCGCTTGTTGTTTGTCGTTGCTCTGATCACAAATGCAGACATGGTTTTATATTTACGCGGCACGATGCAGCGCAATGCGTAAAAAGGCAGTATAAGTCATTATAATCAGTTATTATGTCCCCACTGCATGCAACAAAGGCCTAATTTATAACGGGTTTTATTGGTTTTGTGTTGTCGCGCCGGGACACGGCATCACAGTATGGTGAGGGGTATAACATTTCCATCACACGCTTGAGGTATTCGGCCAATCACAATGCACTGGATAGCTGGCCAATCAGCGTACACCTCGCTTTTCAGACCGATGAGCTTTGTAAAAATCGAAGCATTTCAGAAAGTTGGGGCATAGAGGAGCAACAATAATGTACAGTAAGTGGAAAATAATGTTTTTTGAACCTTAAACCGCATAAACACATTTCATTAAACCAAATACACCAAATAATGTTTTTTTTGCAATGTCATATGACCCCTTTAAAAAAAGAAGAAATGAAAATCCACCATCAGACTAGCCACAGTCCCACCACATGAGGGTGATGTCAACATGGAGATCAGTTTTTCCAGGAACAGTAGTTTCACCAAACTGATCCGTTGATCATTTGACTGCACTGTAAATCACTGATTGATCCTCCACCATCTGATCAGTACATCTGTGAAATGAATATATCCAGAGATATCACTGCATCAATGACCTTTACAGATGCCAATTAATACAACCTCAACCAATGCAGGAACGGCATTCAAGAGTGCTCAACAGTGTTCTGATTCAATCTTAATATGATTTATTATGTTATGAACATGCCATGATGTTTCTCACCTCCTTGCAGCATCAGTCCGGTATTTTCTAATGTTGTCGTACTGGCTTTCCTTCTCTTCCGGTTGGTTCATCTCTTTGTTTCTATGATGCAAGACAGTTACATACTGGATCTCTTCTGTATCTTCAGAATCAGATGCTTTTCCTTCAGTCTGATTGTGACTGACATTGCTGAGAGTAATTAAGGAATACAGGGCATCGTTTTTATTCACGGCATCAGATTCAGACAGAGACCCATCATGAGCTGATACGTTGACATAAAGATCATCCTAAAATGAGAGAAAATGATTTTTATTTATGGTAAAAGGGATGAATACCTTTGTGTATAACATTTGCTTAATACTCGTTTGATAATTTGATTTACCTGCTTTTGTGCGATGTGATTAGGTCTCGGTTTTTTCCTCCTGTAATAAAGAATCATCTAAAATGCATTTAGGAAATGAGCTTGGTATACTAATGTGTTTTCTGACACACAACATGAACTTACATGAGCAACACAATGATGAATATGAAGATTAAACCTCCCAATCCTCCAGTGACTCCAGCAACTGCATACAGAAACTTCCTTCCTACAACAAGACAAGTAACAAGACAATGCTTTTATCTTTATACACTATGAGAAACCAAAACCATGATTCATAGTGTACAGCTGCATTTAAACACAATCACATTTATCTTCATAGTCAAAGATTTCATGACTGGTGCCCCCCTTTTTTTTTTTCTTTTTTTTACATTTGAATGTATTTTACAAACTCTAAATGTATTGTAGATAGCACACGTACGTTTACAAGATGTCTGTTAAAGATCTCTTGACCTGGAAAGCATCTGCTGTGTGCAAACATCTGACAGACGTCTTTAAGATGTCAGTTTTACATACATTCTAAATCTTTAACATCTTAAAGACATCTAATAAAGGTCTATTTGACATCTGATAGGATACATCCTATAGACGTATTGCAGATGAGCAAACACTCTAAAAATACATCTTGCAGATGTAAATGCAGACGTCAAATTTCTGTGATGTGTGAAATTTCTGTATATAAATGTCTGAAACCTAAAATAAACATTCTGTGGTTGAAAACACTGCATAGTTGTGATTATATGAGAAGCACAGAGTGCGTCTGTCTCTGGCTCAGCACCAGCCAAAGCACAAAAGCACAGTTTGAATTTGGCAGTTATGTGATGCCACTGAACGTTCCCCTGATAGCACACGTACATCACAGAAACGTCTATCTGACATCTGCATTCTGCATCTGCAAGACGTCTTTTTTTAGAGTGTTTGCTCATCTGCAATATGTCCATAGGACATTTCCTATCAGATGTCAAATAGACGTTTATTAGATGTTTATTATGTCTTCAAGAAGTTTATGATTTAGAATTTTTGTAAAACTGACATCTTACAGACGTCTGTCAGATGTTTCTACACAGCAGATGCAGATCAAGAGATCTTTAACAGACATCTTGCGTGTGCATATGTGGGACTGTACTACCAGGGGCCCAGAAATAAAAATCTCACATGTGGGACCGTACCGCTCAAAAGATTAATAAAGTGTGGAAATTAAAGCAGTCTAAATGCATAGTAATGACTGATCCAGTTTTATAGCTAAAATATTAAACTAAGGTTAAGTGTAGTTTGAAAAGCATATCTTAAACACTTGGGTGTTTCTGTATCGTTCTTTACTGCGCGCCTCTGATCTGTATGCACTTCTCCAGCATGCGCTTTCTCCTGTCTTTCACAGAAAGCCACACACTCACAAAATTAAAAAATTAACTTTCACTTCATTTTACTGACTGACATTCATTCATTGGTCTCTTTATTGAATAATTACTTATAATATATATATAACATCACTTCACTTTCACTTTTTTCAATTACAAAATTATGTCAAAATACTCATATCCTCAACAAATGTTGGTTATGTTTTATTAAAGGAACATATACAGTTGAGAAAGATGTGAATAATTATATTGGCTCCATGAATTGTGTCTTAAAGTGACTGCTCCAACTCCAAACTGAGCATGCACCAAACTTAGCGGTCTTTAGGAAATATTATAAATACATTAATAAAATGTATTATTTTAAATTAATATTAAAATTCTTGATTCACCCCCACACATTTTCTTCTTTTCATAGCTCATCAGTAGCAGAAATACTCATCCAGTTGCAGAATGACTCTGTGAGTGATACACACCATGTACAGTGACAGTAACAGCGTCTGATCTCTGAGATCCGTGTTGATTGTGAGCCTCACAGTAGAAGCATCCACGCTGTAGTGCACTGAAACTCTGTCCAGATCCAACAGCTGAGCTTTGATTCTCCTTAAACCAGCTGATTTCTGCAGGTGGGTTTGAATCACTGCTGCAGATCAGAGTCACTGAATCTCCCTCCACTATTTCAGCAGATCCATTTATGGACACTGAGACGCTCTTTGGAGGATCTAAAAAGGACAAAAAAAGAAATGTCACATTAAGTTTTAGAAAATTATGAATTTGGAAATTTTGAACAATGTACAAATGGTCATTAACTCACACATGATGTTTAAAGTCACAGTATCAGAGTTTTTCTCTCCATGTTTATTTCTGGACTTGCACTTGTATTCTCCACTGTGATCAGAGCTGATGTTTGAGATGCTGTAGATTCTTCCAGATCCTACAAACGTTCCTCCTTTAAACCAGCTGATTTCTGCAGGTGGGTTTGAATCACTGCTGCAGCTCAGAGCCACTGAATCTCCCTCCACTATTTCACTAGATGGACTCACCACAACAAAAGTTTCCTTTGGAGGATCTAGAGGTCCAGTATATAGATTTTTTGCATTTTGCATTTTTGCAACTTTTACAAAATCTGAATTCTCTATGTGATATTTGAATACATTTACTCAACTGGCCAAAAAATATGATTGAATCTGTACTCACACATGACATTGAGATGAGCAGCAGGAGAGATGTAAGTGTGTTCCTGTAGAGCACAGCTGTATCTGCCTGCATCCTCTCTTCTGACTGACTGCAGCAGGAGTTGATTGTTTCTGTCTCTTCTCTCAGTTAATGGCTGTGAGTTTCTGTACCAGATGAATGTTGCTCTGTCAGTCAGAGCGCAGCTGCTTTTACATGTCAGACGCACTGAATCTCCCTCTGTCACTCTCTCAGGAGCCTCCACCTGAAGATCTGAACACAACACACACATTATATCTAGTGCTGCTGTCATACACTGATTATTATTCAACATAATGCTCAGAAGAAGAGTGAAACTTCATTAAAGTCACCTGTGACAGTAAGACTTACTCCTGGAACACCAATCCATTTCTTATCAGGTTTATCAGTTATGAATCTGAAATAGTACATGTGTTCATCCTTCTGTGTCACATGACTCAGTCTGATGGTGCAGTTCTTCTGTTTGTCTCCCAGATACTGAAGCCTCTGACTGTATTCAGTATCCTCAGACAGATCTGGAGGCTCTACACCCTTTACAGACCCATTGGTCCAGAACACTTTCATGATCTGATATCCAGTAGGGTATGTATAAGTGCAGCTCATTATCACTGATGAGTTCTTTAGTGCACAGATGTGTGAATGTCTGTAATTCACACTCCAATAACCACTGAAAGCATCTGAAATGACCCCCCCCCCTCCATTATTATTCAAATTAACAGCATCTGTAGAGCTGGAGGATGTTGAAAAGCAGAAATAGACTCACTGTGAATCATGAGTAGAAAGATCAGCAGAAGAGGAGGAGCTATTCTGATTGACATCATTATAGCAACACCTGCAACACAATCAATGTACCGTGCCTTATTTTAGCTTCCGTGAAGGTGAATGTCATGAAATCCATCAAGAACTAGATCAGGCTATTGTGAGATTATTTGCATTAGAGTACATTTCACTCTAATTTCATTAGAGGCCCTAAAATAGAAGTTTTTTAAGGTGTCCTTGTTACACGTTACATGTACTTACTATTAAATTAACAATACATTATGCATAATTACATGCAAGTAACCTTAATCATACAGTAAGTACATGTAGTTAATTAATATTACTCAGTACTTAAATTACGTAACAAAGACACCTTAAAATAAAGTGTAACCGTTTTTTCTTTTTTAATGATTTTTATATATTTACATGTAATCATTTGGCAGACACTTTTATCCAAAGTAACTTACAAATGAGGGCAATAGAAGCGATCAAACCAACAAAACAGCAGCAATATATGTTGTGACAAGTCCCGGTTAGTCCAACACAGAACATGTAGCAAGGTGTATATATATAAATATATATGATCAGAAATCATGTCAGCAAAACTCTAGACCTGAAATTTTTTGGACATTTCTTATTTTTATTTTAAAATGTACATTTGTAAAATACAAACAGAGAAATGTTCTTACCGTCTTTCAGGGGTGAAGCAATACAGTGAGAACAGAAGTTTACAATCATAAGATGATTTCTCTTTAGGCTAAATGCTTTATCTTCCTCTTCTCAAGTACATTTTACCCTCGGTTTTATGCTTCAAAGCCATATTTGATTAAATCCATTCAAAGAGTATTTTTTTGTAACATAAGAAAATATCTCCTCATAAGAAGGACAGAGCAAATGAAGCAGCATCTGCCAGTGCATGAAAATTAGTGAAACAGAGGGGCAAAACGAGGAAGTGAAAAGAGAACAACATGCAAAGTTTTTCAGATTTTCAAAGCAACTTTCAGATGCAGTGGAGTTTTTCATCTCTCAGACAGGATTGTCCACAGATAGGTAAAGTGAAGTCATGCAGTGTGAAACCCCCTGTTGCCGATCCATCGTGCAGTGTGAACACAGTAGCAACTGACTGCTACCCCAGATAGTCCAAATGAAGCAGCATCTGCCAGTGCATGAAAATTAGTGAAACAGAGGGGCAAAACGAGGAAGTGAAAAGAGAACAACATGCAAAGTTTTTCAGATTTTCAAAGCAACTTTCAGATGCAGTGGAGTTTTTCATCTCTCAGACAGGATTGTCCACAGATAGGTAAAGTGAAGTCATGCAGTGTGAAACCCCCTGTTGCCGATCCATCGTGCAGTGTGAACACAGTAGCAACTGACTGCTACCCCAGATAGTCACGCAGTGTGAAAACAACGGCGATCCGACGAGTTTGAAAATCGTGGTGTGAACTCGGCATTCGGCTGTGGCTGAAGTCAGTTGTCGTTCTTGTGTTTCTCTTTTCTTCAGTGATGTGGAGTGTTAATAGCAGGTGTTCATCACTAATGTGCAATCATGGACGACAGTTTTGTGAACCTAGGAGAGTAGCCTACAAGGCTGGCTGTGCAAAGGCTATTTCAAATAAAAAAATGGGTCAACTCCGACTTTGCTATGACAATCTGGCGCGACTGTAAGTATGTTTTCTTAATAGCTTAAGTATTTGCTATTGACTGTTCAAATGCGGAGTTTTACGCCGTGTAGAGTATCGCGTCATGTGTGTGTGTGAGAGAGAGAGAGAGGGTCACATCACAGTAGAGTCAGCTGTCTTAACCGTGGCTTGTGTACTGCAAACACATACCAGCTTCATCACTGTGTCTGTCACGCGACTCTGTTCCCCTTTCGGGCTTGAACTGATGGTAAAACTAATGACATTATTTACTGTCTCTAC